ATTAAAAATATCTATAAGTATAATTAATGCTTTATTATTATTGATATATATTATCTTTATTACATTTAAAAAAATCATAAATATCTAGTGAATAAAATTTTGTGAAAATTAAAAGTACATTTATGATTGTCTTCTATTATTTTTAATAAATTATATTTTTGTTAAGATTAAAAAGCAATGACATAGTCATTATTTCATTTAGATTCATCAAAATGTTTTTAAAATTTTATTAGCCTACCATAAGTTGATATTCAATTATTTGAAAACATAAAATATGAAAAAAATTTACATTGATTTAATAAAATTTCAGTTTTTATTACTTGTGACTTCATTTGTCAATATATTTTCACTTAAATTTATATATGTAAACATAATAACATAAAATAAAAAAATAAGATTTAGGCGATAGTAAGATCCAATTTTTAAAATTCAATATGTAAAACTCCTTTAAAACTAGTTATCTTAAAGCAAAATTTTGATATATCTTAATTTTTGAGGAAATAAACTATTTAGCATTGATATTGACCAAAAAAAATATCAACAGTAATTGGAATCGTTTACTCAATTAAAAGAGAGTAAACATCAATAAAATTTAATGATGTAAAAAGCCGTATTCGTACGTGTTGATAAACAATGAAAATTTAGTAATAAATGTTCATTTATAGCCTGATTAGTTATACTTCACTTTGGACTAATAATCCGTCATTCTACTATACGGTCTGCTCTGATTGTTCAAAGGGTATAGCTGCCAATGTGATGAATTTATGATCCTTCTAAGATGGAGATAACAGTGACAGTACCATTGGGCCAAATTAAAGGTTAGCATGTTCACGGTGGAGCTCTGCAGGTTGCCTGCTGTCGCGACGTGGGTCAATATCACGAAGCTCGGTTGTGGATCATCTGCTTGTTACTGAAGTTTTGTTGTTAATCGTGATCCGCAACATCATTGCATGGCCTCGAGTAAGCACAAGCTCCATTGATCGCTCCTTCAGCGCGACCGACTGGCCCCGTTGCGAGTTTCGCTTACCCCACCTTGTCCGAGAATTGGCAATTGGCTGAGCCAGTGCACGGTGGCATTTGACTCAAGAAGTCATCGATTACTTGATGTATCGATGATTTAGAAGTATCCCTAGCCGAGACTCCACTGCTAATCCTTGATCTAACCTTCTTTTGGACTTTTCACGAGCCAGGCGTGACTCGTCCGATGTGTCCAAGCCTTTTCCCTGCCCTTACATGTCCGCCATCACCATATTAGAAGTACATGTTCCTTGCTCAACAAACAGAGTGATTCTTCCGTCTACTCCGATATTGGTCTGTGAGCTCCGGGACTCCGGGGTTGGTAAGGGTTTTGTCTCTAAGAGAGAGAAGACACGAGTGCAAGAAGTTGTTGGAATTAGGTAGGATTGAGCACGCGAGGGAGGTAGCCGATGAATAACCATGTTAGAAGGACCATAAATTCACCCCACTTGCAACTATAACCTTCGATCAATCACATCAGATCGTGTAGTAGGGTGAAGCATGATTAGCCCAAAGTGATGAATAACTAGCCACTCCCTTCATTTATAATGTTTCATATAGATATGTATATATTCAATGAAATATATCTTTATTTAGGCTTGAATACTCTACTTGCTTTGTACACAAAGACTTTGTCATGAACTTCTATTCACTCCATGGACTTTGCTAAACAAATGCGCAATAAGAGTGCTTTGCAAATGCCACAAGATCTGGTTAGAAGATATGAAACCTAAAACCTTGATTTGATTATAAATGTATTAAAAATGCATTTTTTATATTCAAAGATTAAAAAAATGTACAAATCAATATTTTGGTATTTAAAATTAATGATAAATATTTTTTCATTTATGATAATTGATTGAAGTAGACTAGACACTTAAAAAAAGTTAAAATATTTTTTGCAATAATTGGATTTATGAAATTCATCTTCATCTAATTACATGTTAAATGGATCTTCAAGTTGGAGAAAATTAAATACTTTCAAGTTATGATTCAAAATAAACTGAACTTAGATGTTAACTTAACGGCAAGTTACAGTATGAACAACAACACAATTTTAACGCTTCACTTTCTAGCTTGTAAATATGTTAAGAAAAGTCTTTGTTTTTCACTTAGAAGAAAATTCAAAAAATATATAATCTAGAGTATGAACAACAATGAAGAGATCACCATACAAACCAGCATATGCTATACCCTATATTAAAAGATTACAAAGTATTAATCTTGTAATTCAAATATTTCAGGAATGAAAGATGTGAAATTATACATATAATTTTGTTTGTGCAACAGTCTGTCATTTCAGAAAGTTTTAAAACATCTGTAATCTCTCTAGCGAATATATATAAAAACAATTTGTTGAGACCAAATTTGCGGTAGATGTAGATGGTGAACGAAGCCGGAAGACTAGATATGACGAACACAAAGGAACCGAATCCTGTCCCGTAGTAGGTCCGCTCGAAGCCAGTGATAATAGGCGACAGTAGGAAAACTTTTCACATAAGAGACACCTGATTAGAATATGATAATCCGCAACAGCGCTAGGAACGGATCCATCACGAGGTCTAAAAAATATACAAAATAGAAAAAAATTATTTGCTAATGATCAATCATCATTGAAAGTGCTGAGACACGCCCAACAAGGCAGCGGAAGGCAAGTGGCCTCAGCATGGCGCCACTAAAAAACCCCTCAAATTTACCCACCGAACATCAGTCGGACTCCCGCTGGTCCTCGGAAGCCGTAATATACTTTTTACAAAAAGCCGGATATAACCCGCGAGAGTCCGACGGATCCTCCACAGTGTCAGAGCCAGTAACCGCGCCCACCGGGATCCGGTCAGAGGTAAGTAAGTGCGGCGGGAGCGCCGCAGGGAACACGCAGTCTCCGTTGAGCCGCGCACTGGCCGGTCGTCCGAGATGTCAAGGACCGGAGGGCCGTCGCTCGATCCGGCCTCCGGCGGGCCACGAAGGTCCAAATCAGCCCCCCCACGCGAACGTGACTCTGCAATCGCGCAGGCCGTCAACTGCGAACTGTGAACTGTGGGATGCGAACTGCGGGAGAGGTGTGAGAACTGCGTTGATGTGTACCGCGTAAGTGCGTGGGCAATGATTTGGTGCACTCGATCGGGAGGGTCGTGCTTCGCGATCTACGGAAAAGGGTCCCTATGGGACGGTACAGGCCAATGTACGCATTTCCGGCCCCCGAGGTGGAGGTCGAGGTGGGGGTCAATGTCAATGTCCCCGCAAGTGCAGTGCATGCATGGGATGGCGGGGCAGGGCAGGACAGGACAGGGAGGCATGGAGGCCGTGGGGATTAATGATTAAACGACTCGGTAATTGACTGCTGCGCGAATCAGGGCGAGCGATTCACAGGTTCAGTTGGGAGGCAGTTTGCAAGGCGCTGATGGGGAGTTAAGAGTCGGGGAATCGTCCCGAACGCACGCACGATCGGTGATCGGTAATCGCCGATCGATCACATCACGCATGTTGCGACCCGCCACCGCTGCTGCTGCTGAAGAGGAAAACCACACATTTCGTGGTCAGTCATTCGACGCCCGCTGCTCTGCATAATCAGAGGCAGGTAAGTGGAAGTTGGGCCTCATTTACTCGCGCGACCAACGCTTTGCTCGTGCCCTAGCGCCGCTTTGCACATGCCCGATCTGTGCCCATTTCCTCATGATGCTCCTCCAGGTGCCCGTAACTTGTTCTCGACCCAGTCGCTTTGCGGACCTCGGAGCCGTAATCGATGGTGATCGATGGCGATGGCTGCCCTCCCGCCCGCCAGCCAGCCAGCCAGCCAGCCCGGTTGCCGTAATTGGTTGGTAATTCAGAAATGAAATTGCCACTCGCTCGCTCGCTGTCACAGTCGAGGGCAGATCGATTGATCGATGGGGTTGCCAGTTTAGAGGCGGTAGAAGTAAGGGGGGGGAGGTCTGGAGGAGGAGATAAGACGGAAGCTATGGGGCTTGGGGCGAGTAGGAGTCAACACAATGTCATGGGAGTTCGCGGGGTCATTATTCTGATCCGGGATTTAGAGAGTGTGTGGAGCAAGAGAGTTGCAGGAGATAAGACCATCCATCCGAAGGCGGGTTTGCTCGCGCTCGGCAAAGCAGAGATGCTCGGTACGTGCCAATGGGGGCCGTGTCTGGATCACAGGAAGAGGCGATGACAACGACATTCTTTTGCGAAATATCTTTTTCCTCTGATCCACTAATCAATGATGGTATGAACTCCTACCGGGGGCTGCTGCCTATGCCCGTGTTCTTTATTATTTGACGCCCAGTATATTATGATCTGATGTTGGGATATTCTCCGACCCCCCTTGGCCCCTGCGCCATGAGCAACCTTCAGCTCCAGCTTCTCAGGATCAGTAGCAGGCCATCAGCAGCAGCAGCATCGGCATCATCTGACCGACTGGAAGAGGTAGGACTCGAGGAGAGCTGGAGCTTGGACTCCTGATGCGGAAACTCGCTCGAGGCCAAGGCACAGACATACATCCATTCATCTATCCGAGCTTGTCCTGAAAGCTGAGCACTCCCCCCCTACGACGAATCCCTCGCTGCTATGGGAGATGATGCTCCTCAACTTGGTGCAAATATCTATCGATGTCAGAGGAGAGGCATAGGGGACGAGTAACGCCTTGACTTGCTGGGCACTGTTTCGCTTTCAGGGCTGCTGTGGTTTCCCAGACTTTTCCACATTCTTCCTGACGCGTTCCAATACTCCTCTCCGAAGGAATGGGCAGCTCGGAGGAGCACATCTCATCTGCTCCCGTAGCATACTCCGCTTTCCCTTTTATGACCTTTAGCGTTCTCAAAACCTCAGAAAGTGCAAAAGTGAGCCCGAATTGAGGCCGCTTTCCGCTTCTGGGAGAGTATGAAAGAACTTCAGCGAGACGGAGCAGACAGAAGTGCCGAATATCCTTCTGGGAGTACTGTACATGCCCCGTCTCGTGTCGTATTGCAACTGTGCGGCCGCACTGCATGAAGTTTGTCTCATTCTCATGGACCCTCACTTTGCTGGCTACCTGAAAGGGGGCTAGACAGTGCGCAGTAGCCCCACTAGACGTAACCCGTCCTACCAACAGAATTTGGTCAAAACATGCTCCGAGGGTTGTGATGCAGAAATCGCCCGCACCTGTTTCCATTCTAACTTACATTCTAGATAGGATACCGACGGGCATGATTCGGACACCCACTCTCTCACAGACTTATAGTTGACGGCTCTAGCAGCTTATGGCGAATCAAAGATGTTAAGCTTGAACGTGACAACAAGTGGTCCACACATGTGTACCATTATCTTCACAAGAAAGCCTATACTGGTAGCAGCCATGGATGCAACTTTGCCTCCTCCCCAATCGTCTTCGGCACTTCGAGGATTCCGGCACATTGTGCTCTAAAAGAGCAGGATTTCCACAAATCAAACCACGTTTGCTCCAGGAAACACTGAACTTGCAAACTACAGCCTAGAATTGTTCCAATTCTAGGCAAACTCTTATATTATTCCTCAGCGGTAAAAGATGAGGTGTGCAACGTACAGAGGAGAGTTTGAAAACCTGCAAAACTGCTTACTGTACAAGCATTCTGGCCGATGTGCCAGTGCCAACAGACTACATCCTAACTTCCTAGGGAACTCGGCACTCCTGGATATTCCAGATATCCTTAGCATACTGTGCGATAGTCCTATCACTGCTAAATTTCCCGGAGCCTGCAGTGCTGAGAATGGACATCTTCACCCATTTATCTTGGTCCCTGCAAACAAGATAATATCCAGCAGACGCATGAGACGACAGTAAGCGGAACACTCATTAACGAAGACAACAAATATGAATTGAGAAGAGACAGCACAGAACTAATGGAAGATTGCCCACTACTCTCTCTAAGAGCATAAAATCCTTGCCCTCTAGAACAAGGAATGAATATCCCACTTTCGGCATACAGGTCCCAAACAACAATTAGCTGTCCAGTCCGAGAACTGGAACCCTTGGGTTCTATTTTGTGTACAATGTGCAGGTCAAATCAAACCTCTTTCAGGGTGTAAAGAACTCACTTGTAAGCTTCGTCGACCTCTTTTTGACAGTCAATGTACGAAGGGAAGTCGACTCCCACAAGGAAATAGTCTCCACGACCGTACCCGCTGTTTCCTTCCAGTGAGTCCAAGAGTGGCTCGTAGTCATACTCTCCAAAAACTCCGGTCCGGATATACGCCTTTGCTTCTTCGAAGCGGGCATCTGGTTTGAACTGTAACTCCCACACAAAGACATTCTATCACCCTCAGAATCACCCTCAAAATCATTCTACTACACTATGTCATAAAGCACAGTCAAAATAAGCTTCAATGAACCAGCAGGATAATTTAAATGCCAAACTTTCTAATACTCAACATTCAAGTTCATTTACCTGGCCTGCTTCCCTTTCCTTTCGCAGACGTGGTACATCGTCAGCTCTAGCACCAAAAAGGAAAAAGTTTTCTTCGCCAATCTCTTCTCTGATTTCTACATTCGCTCCATCCAGGGTACCGATGATCAAGCACCCGTTGAGAGCAAATTTCATATTACTGGTACCACTAGCTTCCATCCCGGCTGTACTGATGTGCTGTGACAGCTCACTAGCTGGGATGGCTAACTCCGCAACCGTGACGTTGTAGTTAGGTATGAATACAACCTGCACATGACAATCGAGTTCCAACAGTAATAGCCTCAGGAAATTAGTAAATGAAAGTTTTTTCCAGCACAGAATATGTCTACAATGTTGAAGTGAAACTCTGATCAGATCCCTGGCCAGTCCATTTCGGTTGGTATATACATCTTTGTATGCGTCACTCCTTTCCTCTCTGCTGATCAGACTGTATCTAAGCATCATGGTTTTCTTGTCGAGCTGAAGAGGGATCTAACCTTTAAAAGATCGCCGATTTCGGGGTCATTGTTCACCACAGCTCCCACATCGGTCACCAATTTCACGATTCTCTTAGCTTGGTCATATGTTGCAAAAGCCTTTCCTCCCAGCATCACCACCCTGGGTACAACCTTTTTGCGTTCTTCTGCACTCATTTCCTGTGAAATTTTCCAAGAACATAGAAGCCTGTTACATAAAATAGAAAGACAAAAAACGCACATACCGTCTGAAGCAAGACTGAAAGTCGACACAGCAAAGCGGGTCATAAGGAGCAACTAGGGTCATACGGTTGCTCCGTATTCACTTGTTACATTCACTTATCTGTCCATCTTAAGGACAACGTTGCCATGGAGAATACATAAAAGAAATGAGGGACAAAGTAAAGTGATTAAATCTCCATATACCTTCATCTTCTTATAACGGTACACAACCCCCAGAATGTTCAGCAGCTGACGCTTGTACTCGTGAATTCTCTTGATTTGAGTATCGAACATAGAATTCGGGTTGATTTTGACTCCTGTCTTCTCTTCCAAATACTGTGCAAATCGAATCTTGTTTTGCAACTTTGCTTCAGCCCACTCCTTGTGGAGTTGCTTGTCATCAGCAAACTGCAGGCCAAAAGCCAAAGTCAGAATTTCTTCTCATGTGAATTACACGGCTATAGATGCTAAGATTGATTTGAATAGGTTGAAGTCATGAACTTGTGAAGTTTAAATACCTCTCTAAGCCCCGTTAAGAGATCAAGGTTGGTAACCCATTTGTCAGTGCGCAGCCACTTGGTGATAATCGTGCTCAGTTCAGGACTACAGAAGCGGAGCCATCTTCGAGGAGTCACACCATTGGTTTTGTTTTGAAACTTCTCAGGCCACAGAGAGAAGAAATCGGCGAACAAATCTTCCTTCAAGATATCACTGTGGAGCTGTGCCACACCGTTGACCTGTGTACGCAACAGAATACACAACAGGAGAGCTGAGAAGAAAAACATGCTCTTCCAACCTACAGGGGTATCTCAGTGAGGTAATTATGATTACCCGTGCCTATGTTTAACAACCTGGGAGGTCAGTAGTGTCGCTGCTTACTAAAGCATCGTCTGCTGAACTGCTAACACGTTGTCATTTCCAAAATAAGAATTTATGCAAATCTCAGAATTCAATTTGAATTCGCACGTTTCAAGCTCGTGTGACTTACTGCGTGAGAAGACACAACACACAAATGAGCCATACGAACAACTGGTTTTTGAGGGTTGTTGTCCAGCACACGCAGCGACTCAATCTTGCTCTCCATGTCAGGTCGAGTTTTCCGAACAAAAGCCTGGAACTGCAATAGCAGAGCAAGTACCAAGTAAAATAAAAACCAAGGCATCACGCAGGTCATGACATCAACTAAGTGTACAAAGTCTCAAGCAGAATATAAAAGTTACTTGTAAATAAATGAAAGGGGATATGTACTTCTACTACCTACATATATCTGGAGCAGTTGTAGAAAGTAGGAGGTCTGAAGCTAGAAAGTGGGTGATGAATTAACATTCATCGGGTATCCTTGCACTGAGAAGTATTTGTGCAAGAGTCCAATATGTTCATCAATTCCATATACCAAAGACCGTTTAGTGCACAAACCTGCTTGTCAATTTCTGTGATGATTTCCATGTGGCGGGGCAGCAACTTGCCCATGACGGTTTGTGACCACTTCTCCAGAGCCTCGGGAAGGACAGTGTGGTTGGTGTAAGCCACAGTCCTGCAATTCCGCAAAAGCATCAGAAAGTTAAAAGACGAATTTAACCGAGTTAGAATACCGAGTGTGCAGCTCTGACAGTCTGATCCACTCTTTAAACTCAGGAGCCATCTTACTTGTTGGTCACGGCCCATGCTTCGTCCCATCCCAAACCTTCTTCGTCCATGAGAATCCTCATAAGTTCTGGGACAGCAAGAGTTGGATGAGTATCATTCATCTGCACTGCCACCTTGCTCGGAAATTCTGACCAGTTGATGGGTCCCTTTGTTGGCCGCCTTTCCTTGAATCTTGCCATGATATCCTGTAATTTGATGACACTCAGATAAGATGCGAATGATCCAGTTCTAACACTAGCCTGAGACCTAGAAGATACGATACTACCGTGATCCATCCAACTTTTCCTGACACGGACCAACTAGCCCAGCTCCAAAGAATCAGAAAAGGTGGTTTCGGGATTTCGAATCATCTACAAAATACTAAAATGCAATATCCGTTTGATCCAAAGAAGATGATTTGATTCCTTGCACAACGAGGGCAAGAAACCAAACACTGTTAAAATTTCATAAACCAAGACGTTCTAGTGTTTTTGATGAATACTTCTAAAAATAAACTTACTTGTAAAGACGCACTGCACAAGAAATACTGCTGCTTCAATCGCAGAAGCTTGCCCTCCTCAGTAGCATCACCTGGGTATAGAACGGCGCAAATCTGCCACGTGACAAGACGACCAAAACCCATAAGGACGGCAACGAAATTCCTCCAAAGAACCGGATCCCTGAATGTCTTGGTTCGGAATTGACAGTATACTACCAAAGATTATATATCCTGAAATCAAGCGTGGAGACATCGATTAGGTAGGACGTGAGATCCCCACATCATACACAACAGAAACCCCACTTCCATACCTGGTTTGCCTTGGCATGTAAATCTCCAGCTTTCACGTAATCTCCGGCATTGAAGGCATAAAGATCAAACTGCTGTGGGGGAACCTTCGCTTCCCACACTCGAAGGCTGATCGTGTTCTTGGTCTGATATCCAGGAATCGGAATATCGTATGCCAAAGCTTGCACAACTTCCCCTCCTACCCACCTACGTCTGGAGCACATAAAAGTCAGAAAATTAGAAGCGGAATACCATGTGACTCCCTGCTTTGGTGGACACAAGCTACGGAACTTCTGACTGAAAGTTAAAAGGCTGGAAACCTCTTCTAAATTCATGGACAAGCTGGAAGCACATAGAAGCAAGAGGTGAAGTGGGACTTACGATCCGTCCTTCTGAGGTTGAACTTCTCCGAAGAATCGCACCGGATGTACAACGTCGTGCCTCACAATTTCCCAAGGGCTGAATTTCTGAGAACAGCAAGATCGACGAGTCAAACACGTGTTTCACTGGCATTTGAAAAGCTATTGCTCAATTTAGTCGTCAATGGCATGACAAATGCTTACATAGCAAGATATGATTAAGTCACCACTTGCATAGGCTTTCAGCACATGTCGAAAGCTTTCAAAAAGCCCAGTGTGAAACCCTACACAAAAGTTTACTAACGATATTAATGCATTATATCTCCTTCCTACAGTATGTCAGCAAAGTATCAGCAAAAACCTGGAGTGACAGAGCAGAATTCAAACCTCAAGCCAATCTTCTGCATATTCTTCCTGGCCTTTTTTGGTGATACGCTGGCTGAATAGTCCATACTTATATCTTAGTCCATAACCCCATGCCGGCAGACTGAGGGTTGCCATGGAATCCAAAAAGCATGACGCTAGTCTTCCGAGACCACCATTTCCCAGAGCTGCGTCCCGTTCCTGCAATGTTATATTTGATGTGGAGATATTTCAGAAAGACTTTACAGACATAATCTCTACATGCTTGAAGTTAGACTTGACTCTGCAACGACTATTCCGAAGATCAATCGCAAATCAGACACAAAAGAGCACTGCAAAATTCAAAGGGCTTGGACTACATTCCACAATTATTACGAGGAAATTGATCTCTATGAGCTCATACATAGATGTGGTAGCCTAGCTAGGATGGCAGTCGTCGTTCCATTATATCGATAAGGTCAAGCACTTCAGAACATGAAGGAAATTGACAACAGGTCCATTCTCCCTGTGTACCGGAGCTCCTGGAACTCCTGTACGTTCGTAGTGAGCTTCTAAGGAACCAAGAATTCGTCATCAATGTCCATCAGAAATTACCTGTTCAACTATGGTTTCAAGGTCGTAACCCAATTTCATTAGAGCTGAACCATAGGCATCAGTAAGATTAAGGTTGCCGATCGCGTTTGTCAGGGCCCTTCCTTGCAAGTACTCCATCGAAATGTAGTACGTCTGCTTGGGATCGGTCTTGTGAAAATGAGCATACGTATCGTTCCATCTCTGCAACAAGAACAGATTTCAATTTGATTTGTCAGCATTCGTGATCTGGATAAGTTCCTGCAGTTGATCCATGAACTGCACGGAACTACAAGCAATTAAAACTATGTCGTTTGCGACATCTAACAGGATTAGATGTCGCAAACGACGTAGACACAGTCCCGTCATAAGTCGTAACTGAGTGATTAACATTTCAGAGGCAACAGAAATAAACTTGTTCATGGTTCTCATAAGTAAATGAAGTACTGTTACACTGTAGGGACACAGATCTACAGTATAGATAATTTTGTACAGAGACCATTCTCGAAGTGCAAGGGAAAATAATTGCTTCAGAGCAGCGGAGCGATATCATCGACACATTCCTGCAATTCTTCGAGAATGACAGGATTGCCAAACAGTCTCATCCCAAATCGTCTAGCGAGACCCAGTTTGGTGAAAGAATCCTCCGACATCCCTTTGACAACCGTTCTTCTCGATTGAAGGGGAGGGTCAGAATGCTTGAGCCAAATGTGGAGGGTTCACATATGGACAATGCTACCGAGGAATGAGGCGGAATATCAGACTCAAACGTTTCTAAAAGACACGAAGAGTTTAGTGTTTTGCTGGTGAATCGACAACAGAAGTGCGGCAGATGCAAGGCTGCGAGGCACAAAGCGCCCATTGTACTTCAAAGAGTCGGGGCAGATTTGCACCTTCCCACAACCTAAGTAGCATAGAGAGTAAAAATGAACACTCTACCACCGAATAAGAGAATTTAAACGAAGACTTTGGCCAAAATATCGGCAGCTAATTTCCCAGCTGAGCCGAGAATACAAAAAGCATCAGAATCCATCGTGCGCACGAGAGAAGATTTGCAAAAAAAATCCGGCAAACTAGATCAGCTGAAGAAGTCGAAGGTCTCACTTGAATGAGGGAATCGCGAACGCTTTCGGCAGTGGCATAAAAGGCCTGCTCGGGCTCGAACTTGAAGGGAGAAAAATGGGGACCGTATTGCGCGTGGTACTGAATATTCGCCGCCACTCCGAACGCATCGTCCGGAGTCGGATGGGCGATTGGAGGCACAGTCTTCAACGCCTTACCCTTCGCCCCCTCGTTGTGCTTCATCTCTCCGCCGTTCACAGCGGGGGCCATTCCTTCTCTCTTGCCAGCCCCACTTCACGTCCACGCCTCGACTCCTCTCTCTCTCTCTCTCTCTCTCTATCGCCGCCTCTTGCTGCTCAGATCGTCTTCCTCGAGAAAGGCGCGGCGACTCAAGACTCTCTCTCTCGGGGACTGATCGATCGATCGATCGATGCGGCGGAGAGCGCTGCGCGATTTGCTGCACGACGATCGTTCCTCCTGACGACGACGGCGACGGAAGAATGGAATGAATAGGAGGAAGATCTCGTCCGGCCCCTCGCCGGGCAGCGCTGCGCAGAGCATCGCAGGCAGGGGTAGGGGCAGAGCGGGCAGGGCTAGGGGCAGGGGCAGGGCCAAGGGCAAAGGGCAAAGGACAGTGGCGGGGGCAGGGGCAGGGGCAGCAGAAGTAAGTGAAAGCCAGTCAGGGGGCAGGAGACGCGACACGTGGACAGCGCAGGCACTGCTACTGGAAAGCGCCGGTGAAGGTCTCGACATGTGGGGGTAAAATCGGGCTTCCGGGCCCACAGAAAGCTCTGCACCCCTACTGGTGGTAAGTATCTTCTTTCACCTCGGCTGCTCGCCTTTTACCCTCGGGGCTAGCGACTGCTCGACCGGGTGGCTTTCACCTCGGAGCATCCGGTACTTCCTCATTGTCGTCTATGGCTGCTGACAAGTGTTCGACCAAGAAGCTCGATCTTCTGCGCAGCGTTTTATTTTATATTTTATTCTCGCTGTGCATATCGGGAGCCTATTTTAAGCCCGGGCGAGAGCATTTCTTGTATTTCCCGCTTAGCGATCAGCGAGAGCGAGGGGCTGCGGAGAGTCCGGGGGTTCGGCTCTGGCTGTGGCAGGCTGCCGCATGCTCGACACATCAAGCCAATCTGCTGAAGGAAGAAGGCCCGAGAGCCATGCGAGCATGGTTCTGCCACTTCTGTGTGACAGCATTGGCTCGATGTTTCGACGAATCGGAGGCTCTGCTTGCAGACGGGGAGGTGTCGATGGGCGAAAGTGTGATTAGGTTTGGTGGAGCTTTGACATTCGGACCTCCTCGGATCTGAGAGCTTCTGACTGCCCTGCACAGCATGTCAGAGATCCAACAGTACTCCAACTGCTGCTTATATTAAGTACGAGATTCCGCTGCCAGTGAATGTTAACACGTAGCCCCCATCCTCGATAAGCATATCAACGATGTGTGCAGAACGAACCTTGACCTTCAATAGAGACCTGCCACATGTCGACTAGCATATGTATATATATATACATTTTTTATATTCTGATTCATTTGCTGCCTATAATCCTTCATTATCTAAAAATGTAACTTGAAGTTGTATTCATGTTGGCATGATATACTACTGGTGAGGGTGTTTGCCATCTTTCCAACAAAGATTTGAGTTCCTACTGTCGGGCTTTTCCCAGTCGTCTAGGGAAACTCATGACTACTCATCTGGAGGTTTGTCCGATTCTACGATTCTACGAGAGTCAAACCTCCTCATGGTGCCTCATGACTTGACGATGGAATCATGAGTGCGAAAATAGTATGAATGTGAAGACTTTTGTTGAGGTGCATATTTTGTCATCTGCAGTCATTACAAATGTAAATCACGTGTCTTTCGAGTCGAAGGATTTGCTATTGCTATATACGTCGGTATGTATATAGCGAAAAGATGGGAAGTAGTGATACGAACCAAACGGATGGTACTAACCCAATAACTTCGTATCGGAATATGTCATAGTGCTTCTAATAACTATATATAGATTATCAAGGTATAAATATTAATCTCATTTGTTTGATGTCTATGTAATTGCACAAACCATTTGTGTGGCTTTGGAGTTGTATTTGGAAATTATATAAAGCCTTCAAGGATTCCTAATTTTCGGATGACATCACAATGGAAAAAATGAATTACAACAAGAAAATTATCTAGAATGTAAAGTGTGATAAATAAAATAATACTCCTCTGGCTCAATATGATAAACTTCTCATCAGTTCCTGGAAACATACAAGGTGTTGTGCATAAATAGAAAACCCCAGCACAAGAGAATAAAAAAGACCATAATTATACACATACTTCGTTAAAATTTAAGTGTATATATTCTAGTCATTGTTGGCATTTTGTCACGTTGTTAACAGTAAAAAATGGTGATCTTGGCCATCTATCAATCTATCAAATTGATCTTATCAATCTATCAAATTGATCTTAACACGAAAGATCAAAGATGAACATGAATTCTATACGGGACAAATGAGTGACTATGCTTTGATCTTGAAAGAGCATGATATTGAGGATTGTAATCATGTGATTATATAACAATTAGATAGTTGCAGCAAATACGAGCTATGTTTTCCATAAAAAATTCAAGAACAGATCTTATAGAGAAAGTTGATTATCCGATTTTTTATTCTAATACTAATATAAATTATTGTAATCTATTGAATTTGAACAAATTATTTGATGGTAACCATATGAAAAGCAAAACACTTGCTAGGACTAATATATCCATGGTATTATATCACTATATTATACAACACTTTCAAACCATAAATTGTTTAATTCTATAATAAAAATTCTTAATGGACTTCGTAGCAATCCACATGAATGTTGCTAGCTTGCTACAATTGTGATATTTTAGAGTTGTCAAGGATTCTACCTGAAATGGGGAAACCAAAGTATGCTATTTGGAAAAAGTAACTTGTAACTTATAAAGGCAGAGTGTCAAGTTAATGTATTGCAAGTGTTTCATTTTCAACAAATTGGTGATTGCAGTAATTGCCGTGCAGCAAAATGATTGCATTCGCAATCAATGTGTTGGCTTTAAGAAGCAGACATAATCAATATGATATTTAGATACTGTTTCTAGTGATCTCAAAAGAAGATTATAAGATTAATAGTTAGTCTGTTGATTTTTGCCAACATCAACCAAAGCAAGTTTGTAACCCCCGAATGATTTCAAACACAATTTTTTTTATGGCGATCAAAAGCATTTTGATTTTTTGAAGAAGTACAATTAACATAAGCTTGATACACTATTTGCACTTATTATTTGTCACACGGCCATGTTATTTGCCGTTTTTTAGCATTTAGCATATTCTTTGAGTTGCTTAGTGCTTGCTTTTAATGCTCTTCTAGTGAAACTATTGATGTTCAATTGATGTGGAATGAATATTTATGTGTGATCAATGATGTTATTCTAGCAATGAGCATTACGTGGCTCATCTGCCTTACCTTGGACGGCGTCACAAATATGCAAGGTAAGAAGATGATCAACTTGATGGCTTGTTCACTAATTGCAACATTTTACAATGAAGTTATGTACAAAGAATGCTATAAATATGTTGAAGAATGCAAGCTGCGTCTTTTATAAATATTTGTAAGTTTGTTTTTAGAATTTTTTGATCTTTAAATCTCAAAAGGATTGTGGATCTATATAGCTATTTTGAAATTGTAGAAGAACATGTTGAAAAAAAACTACCCTGCACAAAAAATGAACATTTTGTTAAATAATTGATGTTTAGTTTCTACAAAGATTCACCAAGCATAATGGTTAAGTTGCGCACAAACAATGTTTTAAGTCAAAAAATTCATGGTAACGTACGGCTGTGCACCTCATACAATCCACAAACTTTGCATGAATTTGTGCAAATTATATTCAAGATTAAATTATAGTATAAAACAAATCTTATTTATGATTTTGTCTTTTATGAAAATTGTTCGACAAGTTGTGCATTGAAAATATCAAAAACTTACATACTCATATTATTTACAAAGATCTTATTGAGTATTGTCCACTATGTCGTTTAGTGTGTCAACATAATCAAATTAGCATGTGCATCATTGTCACGAAACATTCTTAATGCCAATTATGTCCTTGATATATTTGACAAACTAAAAGATTTGATTAAAGATCAATCTTATTGGAAAAACGTATATGCAATAGAATCATTCTTTAAGACTAATTGCTCATGTTTAACATATTTAGAGTAAAATAAAGCAACATTTTGTACTTTGTATGTGTGGTTTGTAGCAATCAAGTTACACATTAAGATGCTCAATTGCGCTGTCAAGGATATTTAGGATTTGACTAAAAATGATATCAAATAGATTGTAACAATGATTCATCGTCACTTCTTGACAATTTATATAGAGATTCATGATTTAGCATTTGTGTTTAATTCATTAATCAATCCATGCAAATCATTATTCAGCCAAGAGTTCTTGCAATTGTAAAATTTTTTGATCAACCAAAAGTCAAAGGCCGCATTTAGACTTATTGCAAATGAAAACAAGAACAATCGACAAAAACTCTTAAATAAAATTGACACATTCATTGTATATATCAAATACAAATATGATGATTTCAGAAACATCACCTTCAAGTTGTATGAATTATACACCTTACATGACAATCATTACTACGGTGCCATGACTATACGTAGGTTTGTCAAGGTGTATAGTGTACTATGTGAGTACATTATTAGTTGGAGGTGATCCCATGCATATTAGGGTCGACAATGATCGAGTGAAACTGACTCTTGGTAGACCTCGGCAAGATAGAGTAACTTTTTGCAGCCATCCGGTAAAATATATGGGAAAAATTAAAGGATTGAGCTATAGGTAAGGTAAAGGAAAGAGTAAAGCTAAAGCTAAATGGATTACTTGATTTCCTCATAATTACTAAGTACATCACTTAAGTGATTCTTGACCATTACAAAAGTTTGTCATAGTGTTCATGGCGCGGCTGCGGATTTTGTGGCGGACATCCAGCTACGGATATCTTTAAAGTGCAGACACATTAGACTCTGATGACCACAACAGTCCTAGCTGAAGACGAGTAAAACAATTTGGAGTCGATCGTTGAGTAGCTTGAGGAGTAGTAGATCGGCTAGAACAAAAGATCTTAGAAGATGGTGTCATTGTCATCCTTCACTCCCAATTTTCTGACATTGTTTTTGACGCTAAATACGACTTCGGATTTGACTAAAATCACATTCGTTTTTTGTCTCACTCACAATCGATACACTAGTTATTTCATTTTTACAAAGAATGTGTATCAAGTAAACGGGTAAATTAACATTAGTTAAAAATAAAGGTAAAGATAGAAATCGGTGGTGCATGTAAGGTAACGGATAAGATAAAGTTAAAGGCTCATGCATTACCCGGTAACCTTCTATACTACCTTGTCGAGACCTAACTCTTGGTAGAATATATCCTCATGTATGTGAGGGGTATACCA